TCCCTTTGGCGGCCCTCTCTTTCCTCTCCGCCACTGTCGCCGCTTTTTGTACCCTTTTTGGGCCGCTTCCGCGCCGTGCTTCGGGGCCCCCCCTCGTCGGTCATCCCGTTTGGTCGTCGGCGCCCTGCCTGCCGTCCTGTTCCGGCGCGGCTCTCTTTGTTCCGGCTCTCTGGGCCGCCCTCTCGGCTCCTCCGCTGCTGGTTTCGGGTCTTCTGAGTCGCCTCGGTCTGCCTTCTCCCGGCTTGGTCCCTGCTTCCTTCCGGCTTGTCCCTCCCTCCCCTTCCTGCGGGCCCCCTCGGTGGCCCCTCCGGCTCCTTTTGCCCCTTTCCACCCCCTCTCTCTCTTTCTGCCGCTTGTCCCCGGCCCTTTTGCGGCCCTCCATCTTTCTCTCCGCCCTCTCGCCCGCCTTGATCCTCCCTATTTTGTGGGGCTCTCCGCGCCGTGGGTTTCCGGGGCCCCCTCCTCGGTTTCTCGACCCCCTTTGCATCGTCGCCGCCCTGCCGCCGCCACTGTTACCGGCGCCGCTCTCCTTCTGTCCGAATCTCGGGCCCGCCCCTGTACGGCTCCTCTCGGTGCTGGGTTTTCGGGTCTTCCTAGGTCCCCGTCGGTCTGCTCTCCCCGGCTGCTCCCTGCCTTCCTTGCGGCTTGCCCCCTCCCTTCCCCTTCCTGCGCCCCCTCGGTGCCCCTCCCGCCGCCTTTGCCGTTTTCGCCCCTCTCTCCTCTTTCTGTTGCCTGTCCCCCCCTTTTGCTGCCTCCTCTTTCCTCTCCGCCCTGTGGCCCGCCTTGTCCTCCTTTTCGGGCGCTTTTGTGCCCGTGCTTCCGGGGACCCCCCCTCGTCGGTCTCTTCACCCTTTGTTCGTCGGCGCCCTGGCCTGCCGCCCCGTTCCGGCGCCCGCTCTCTTCTGTCCGGCTCTCGGGCCGCCCCTCTCGGCTCCATCTCGGTGCTGGTTTCGGGTCCCCTTCTGGTCGCCCTCGTCTGCCTCTCCTGGCTGCTTCCTGCTTCCCTCCGGCTTGCCCCCTCCCTCCCCTTCCGCCTGCGCCCTAGGTGCCCCTCCGCCGGCCTTTGGCCGTTTTCGCCCCTCCTCTCCTGTCCCTGTCGCTTGTCCCGCCTTTGGGCGCCCTCCTCTTATCCTCTCCGCCCTCTCGGCGCCCTTGTCAGATCCTTTTCGCGCGCTTCTGCGCCCGTGCTTCCGGGGCCCCCCCTCCTGGTCCTCTCACCGCTTTGTTTCGTCGGCGCCTGCCTGCCGCCCCGTTTCCGGCGCCCTCTCTTTCTGTCCCGGACTCTTCGGGCCGCCCCCTCTCGGCTCCTCATCGGTGCTGGTTTCGGGTCTTCTGGTTCGCCTCGGTCGCCTCTCATGGCTGCTGCCTGCTTGCCTTCCGGGCCTTGCCCCCCTCCCCTCCCCCTCCTGCGCCCCCTCGCTGCGCCCCTCCGGACGGCCTTTTGCGTTTTCGCCCCTTCTTCTCTCTTTCTGTTGCCTGTCCCCTTTTTGCTGCCCTCATCTTTCCTCTCCGCCCTGTCGGCCGGCTTTGTTCCTCCTTTTTCGGGCGCTTTTGCCGCCGTGCTTTCCGGGCCCCCTCGTCGGTCTAAAACATGCCCCTTTGTTTCGTCGGGCGCCCTGCCTGCCGCCCGTTCCGGCGCCGCTCTCTTCTGTCCGGCTCTCTGGGCCGCCCCTCTCGGCTTCCTCTCGGTGCTGGTTTCGGGTCCTTTCTGGTCCACCTCGGTTTCCCTGCCTTCTCCCCGGCGCTCCCATGCTTCCTTGCGGCTTGCCCCCCTCCTCCCCATTCCTGGCGCCCCCTTCGGTGCCCTTCCCGCCGCCTTTTGCCGTTTTCGCCCCCTCTCTCTCTTTCCTGTTGCCTGTCCCCCCACCCTTTTGCTGCCCTTCCTCTTCCTCTCCCCCTGTCGGCCGCCTTGTCCTCTTTTTCGGGCGCTTTGCGCCAGATGCTTCCGGGGCCCCCTCCGTCGGTCTCCCCCTTTTTCGTCGGCCCCCCTGCCTGCCGCCCCGTTCCGGCGCCGCTCTCTTTCCTGTCCGGCTCTCCGGCCGCCCCTCTCGGCTCCTATCGGTGCCTGGTTTCGGGTCTTTCCTGGTCGCCTCGGTCTGCCTCTCCCTGGCTGCTTCCTGCTTCCCCTCCGGCTTGGCCCCCTCCCTCCCCCTTCCTGCGCCCCTCGGTGCCCCTTTCGGCCGGCTTTGGCCGTTTTCGCCCCCTCTCTCTCTGTCTGTCGCTTGTCCCGCCCTTTGGCGGCCCCTCATCTTTCCCTGCTCCGCCCCTCTCGGCGCCCTTGTCCTCCTTTTCGGCGCGCTTCTGCCCCGTGCTTCCCGGGCCCCCTCCTCGGTCTCCCGCTTTGTTCGTCGGCGCCGCTGCCTGCCGCCCCGTTCCGGCGCGCTCTCTTCTGTCCGGCTCTCGGCCGCCCCTTCGCCCTCTCGGTGCTGGTTTCAGGGTCTCTGTCGCCTCGGTCCTGCCTCTCCTGGCGCTGCTGCTTCCTTCCGGCTTGCCCCTCCCTCCCCTCCCTGCTTCCCTGCGCTGCCCTCCGGCCGCTTTGGCGCCCGCCCTTTCCCTCGCGTCGTTGTCCCGGCCTTTTGAGCGGCCCTCCTCTTTCCTCTCCGCCCTCTCGGCGGCCTTGTCTCCTTTTTCGCGCGCTTCTGTCGCCGGTGCTTCCGGGGCCCCCTCCTCGGTCTCGCCCCTTTGGTCGTCAGGCGCCCTCTGCCTCGCCGCCCTTTTGTTTTTTTTTTTTTTTTTTTTTTTCGGCGCCGCTATCTTCTGTCGGCTCCCACGCGCCGCCCTCGCTCCTCCGGTGCTGGTTTTCGGGTCCTTCCTGGTCGCCTCGGTCTGCCTCTCCCGGCTGGTCCCCTTCCTTCCGGCCTTGCACCCTCCTCCCTTCCTAGCGCCCCTCGGTGCCCCTACAGGCCCGCCTTTTGGCCCGTTTTCGCCCCTCTCTCTCCTTTCTGTCCTCTGTCCCCCTTTTGCGGCCCTCCCTCTTCCCTCTCCGCCCTCATCCGCCGCTTGTCCTCCTTTTTTGGGCTCTTCTGCGCCGGTGCTTTTCGGGGCCCCCCTCCTCGGTCTCAACCCCTTTGGTCCGTCGGCGCCATGCCTGCCGCCGCTGTTCCACGGCGCCGCTCTCCTTCTGTCCGGCTCTCGGGCCGCCCCTCTCGGCTCCTCTCGGTCCTGGTTTCGGGTCTTCTGGTCGCTCGCTCTGACCACTCTCCCGGGCCTGCTCCCTGCTTCTTCCGGCTTGCCCCTCACCTCCCCTTCCTCGCCCCCTCGGTGCCCCTCCGCCGCCTTTATCACCGTTTTTTCGCCCCTCTCTCTCTGTCTGTCCGCTTGTCCCGCCCTATTGCGCCCTCCTCTTCCTTCTCCGCCCTCTCGGACGGCCTTGTCCTCCTTTTCCGCGCGCATTCTGCGCCGGTGCTTCACGGGGCCCCCCCTCCTCGGTCTCCCCCTTTGGGTCGTCGGCGCCAGGCTGCCTGCCGCCCTGTTCCGGCGCCGCCTCTTTCTGTACCACAGGCTCCCCGTTGCCGCCCCTATCGGCTCCTCTCGGTGCGGTTTCGGGTCTTCATGGTCGCCTCGGTCCTGCCTCTCCCGGCTGGTCCCGCTTCCTTCCGGCTTGCCCTCCTCCACCTTCCTGCGCCCCTCGGTGCCCCTCCGCCCGCCTTTTGCCGTTTCGCCCCTCCTCCTCTTTCTGTCGCCTGTCTTTTGCGGCCCTCCTCTTTTCCTCTCCGCCCTTGTCGGCCGCCTTGTCCTCCTTTTCGGGCGCTTCTGCCCCGGCGCTTCTGGGGCCCCCCTCGTCGGTTCTCGGGGCTCCCCTTTGGTCGTCGGCGCCCTGCCTGCCGCCATGTTCCGGCGCCGCTCTCTTACTGTCCGGCTCTCGGGCCGCCCTACTCGGCTATCTCTCTGTAGCTGGTTTCGGGTAACACTATCTGGGATCGCAACTCGGATCTGACCTCTCCAAACGGCTAGGATACCCAAAAAATAGACTTCAACTTACCGGCTTGCCACACCCCATACCTCCCTTACAACATAGCAGCCACAACACAATCGGTATGACCAAAACCTAAAAAAAAAAACACCAGACAGCCTTAAATATGCCGTATTATCAGCCCAATCAATACATCTAATCTATTCCACTTGTACCACCACACACTTAATTAGCAGGCACTCAAAAAAAACTCATATATTCCAATCTCACGACCCTCTACGCCCGACCATGTCACCATAAACCTTTATTGAGGCTCATATCCGCGCACGGTAGCTATTCGGGAGCACATCCCCCTACCTACGCCTCAAAATACCCCTATTGAAATCGTCGGAACGCAACCTGCCTAAGCACGCCCACTGATTATTACACGAGCGCACACAACGCTCATAAATTCTGTCAACGAGACATTCTCGGACCCGTACCCTCTACAGGACATCCTCTCGAAGTGACATGTAATTCGGGTCTTCTGGTATGAACACATCGTCTGAACACTCTAACCGGCTAGTCCCAAAATGCTTCCTTCACAGGCTTGCCCCTCCTCCCCTTCCTGGCGGCACCCTCAGGTGCACACACTAAACACACACAAAAGAAAAAAAACCAGTGCCGCTTTTGCCGTTTTTACTCGCCCTCTCTCTCTTTCTGTCGCTTGATAACAACACCTTTGGCGGACCCTCACATACATATATCATTCCGACCCATAGATCAGGCACAGCCATAGTCACATAACACATAATTTCCAGACAAGGCGCTTTCGCGCCGGTGCTTTAATTCCGGAGGACACACACCTCGTGGTTTCATACACACCTATATAGATACGTACGGCACCACTGCGTGCGCCACATATATACACAGAGACAGATATGAGACATCTCTTCTGTCACGGCTCTCGAGACATACCCATCTCAAGAGACATATACACATACATACGGAAAGACAGACTGGTATATACAGAGATCATATCCTGGTCAGACACATCGGTACATAGACCATCATACAACAAGGCTGGTCCCTCGCTATACACATATCACAGGCCTTGAGCCACCTCCCTCACTATCCTGCAGAACCCCCTCGGTGCCACCTCCGAGCTGCCTTTATAGACACAGTTTTCGGCCCCCATCATCTCTCTTATCTGTCCGGCTATGTCCCCCTTATTTGCGGCCCTCCTTCTTTCATATACACAGCCCATACATACAGACACCGACCTTTAGTCACTCCTTTTGGGCTCTTCCCGCGCACGAGTGACATATTCAGGGGACACAACACATACACTACAGAGTCTCCCCCTTTGGGTCGATCGGCGCCCTGCGTGCCGCCCCGTTCCGGCGTCGCTCTCTCTGATACACAGAGACACATACAGATAGGCCGCCCCTCTCAGGCTCCACTTCGGTGCTGGATTATACAGCAGAGACATATACTGGTCGCACTCGGAGTATGCCATCATACACACGGATGGATACACATAGCTTCCTTCGGGCTTGGCCCCCATACCTCCACCACATTACATAAGACGACACCCTCGGATAGCACCTAACCGGCCGCCTTTGCCGTTTTCGCCCCTCTCTCTCTTTCTGTCAGCTTTGTCCCCCCTTTTGCGGCCCCCTCTTTCCTCTCCGCCCTGTCGGCCGCCTTTTCATCCTGTTTGGGTCGCTTCTGGGCCGGATGCTTCCGGGCCCCCCCCTCGTCGGTCTCCCCCTTTGGTCGTCGGCGCCCTGCCTGCCGCCCTGTTTCCGGCGGCCGCTCTCTTCTGTCCGGCTCTCTGGCCGCACCTCTCGGCCGCCGCTCTCTTCTGTCTGCCTCTCTCGCCTGTTCGCGTTCCTTCCGGCTTGCCCCCTCCCTCTTCTCCTGCGACCCACTCGGTGCCCCTCCGGTCCCCCTTTGGGCCGTTTTCGCCCTCTCCTCTTCTGTCTGATCGCTTTCTCCCCCTACTCTTTCCTCTCCGCCATGTCGTCCCCGCCTTGTCCTCCTTTTCGGGGCCCTTCCGAGCCGGTGCTTTCGGGACCCCCCTCGTCGGTCTGCCCCCCTTTGGTCTTCGCCGCCATGTGTGCCCCCCTGTTTTCCGGCGCCGCTCTCATTCTGTCCGCCTGCTGGGGCCGGTCCTCTCCGGCCTCCCCCCGGTCATTCTTTTAGGGTCTTACTGGTCCCCTCGGTACTCCTCTCTCGCCTGTTCGCACCGCTTTCCTTCCGGCTTGCCCCTCCTCTACCATTACCTGCGCCCCTTCTTTTTTGTGGCCCTCCGGCCGCATTTTGGCGCCGTTTTCGCCCCTCTCCTCTCTCTCTGTCCCTTCTCCCGCCCTTTACCGGCCTCCTCTTTCCTCTCCGCCCTGTTTGGCCCCTTGGGTCATCCTTTTTTCTGCCCTTCACGCGCCGGTGCTTTTCGGGCCCCCCCCCCTTGTCGGTCCTCCCCCGCTTTGGTCCATTCGGCGCCCTCTGGCCACCCTGTTTCCGGCGCCGATCTCTTTTTGTACCGCAACTGCCGGGCCCGCTCTTCAGGCTTCCGCCGGCCCCTCTTTTCGGGTCGCCTGGTCCCCTCGGTTCACCTGCTTTTCTCTTGGATGTTACGCTGGATTCCTTCCGGCTTGCCCCCTCCATCTCCCTTCCTGTGCACACTCGGAATGCCCTCCGCCCGCCTTTGGCCCCGTTTTCGCCCCCTCTCATCTCTGTCTGTCGCTTCTCACCACCCTATTTGCGGCCATCCTAATTCCTCTCCGCCCCTGTCGGCCAGCCTTGGTCCTCCTTTATCGGGTCCTCCGCGCCCGTCCTTTCGGGCCCCCATCATCGTCGGTCTCCCCCCTTGTCCTTCGGCGGCCCTCTGTCCCGCCTGTTCGACGCCGCTTCTCTTTTCTGTCTCGCTTGCGGGGCCCTCCTCTCGGATTCCCTTGCGGCCCTCATTGTCGGGTCTTTTTTGGTCGCCCTCGCTCTGCTCTCTCGGCTTTACGGCCTTGCTTCCTTCAGGGCTTCCCCCCTCCCTTTCCTCATGCGCCCCTCGGTGCCCCTCCGGCCGCCTTTGGCCGTTATTAGCCCCATTAGTCTCTCTCTCTGTCGGGACTTATCCCGACCCTTTTCCCGGACCCTAATATTTCCTCTAAGACGTGTAGGAAGCAACTGTAATCATTTTTTGTTGCAATTCCAACCGGTGGGATTTTCGGGCCCCAAAATCGGAGGTATACCCCCTTTGGTCTTAGAACCCTGCGTGAACCCTGTCCGGAGACCGATAATCTTCTGTACGCCTGATGGGCAAAGCCTCTATAGGCTTGGAACGAGGTAATATTTTTAGGGTCTTATGGTCGCATTCGGTATGCCTATTCTTCGGCGTTAGACGCTTCAATTAAGGATTGCAAACTCAATAAAATTATGTGCAAAATGGTGCACTACGAAGCATTTGGCAGTTTTTAAGCCCAAATATCTCTCTGTCTGTGGTTATCACAAATTTTGAGGCCAATACTATTTCCCTCTAAGACATGTAGGAGCATTGTAAATCATTTTCGGGCAATCTTCTGAGCGTGCTTTCGGGCCCCAGAAATTCTAGGTATACCCTTGGTCTTAGAGAGCCCTTTGTGAAGCCTCTGTTCCGCAGCCGATATCTTACTATATACGCCTGACGGACACTCCATAGACGGCTCAACGAGGTAATAATTATTAGGTTTTATGGTGTAATCGGTATGACTATCATCGGCTGTTTAATGCTTCTTAAGGATTGCAAACATCAATATAAATTAATGCGCAAAAATCAGTGCCCACTACTGGAAGCATTTGGCATAGTTTTGGCCCAATATCTCTCTGTCTGTCACTTTACACGCCATTTTGAGGCCATAATATATAATTTCCGCTAAGACATGTAAAAGGCAGCATTAGTAATCATTTTTCCGGGGCAAATTCCGACCGGTGCCCTTCCGGGCCCCAAAATCGTAGGTATAACCTTTGTGTATTAGGAAGCCGGTGTGTGAAGCCCTGTTCCTGAGCGATATCTTCTGTACAGCCCTGACGGCCAGCTCCTTAGGCTCAAACGAGGTAATATTTTAGGGTCTTTATGGTCCAATCGTTATGCCTAGCTTTGGCTGTTAGAAAATGCCTTCAATTTTAAAGATTGCATAACATCAATATAAATTAAATGCGCAAAATCGGTGCCACTCTGGAAGCATTTTGGCAGTTTTAGCCCAATATCTCTTTGTCTGTCGCTTATCCATGCCCATTTGAGGCCATAATATTTCCCTATAAGACGTGTTTGGCAAAGCATTGTAATCATTTTCGGGCAATTCGAGTCGGGTGCTTTCGGGCCCCAAAAATCATAGGTAAATATGCCCCTTGGTCTTAGGAGCCCCTGTGTGAAGCCCTGTGTGAAGCCTGTTTCCGGAGCTGATTTATCTTTTGTAACGCACTGAACGGGCGCAAGCTCTTATAGGCTTAAGCAGGCAATAATTTTAGGGTCGTATGGTCCAATCGTAATGCTTATATCGCTGTTAGATGCTTCATTAAGGATTTGCATACTTCAATATAAATTTAAATTTTTGGCGCAAAATCGGTGCCAACACTCTGGAAGCCATTTGGGGGCAGTTTTGCCCAATATCTTCTGTCTGTAGGTTATCACACAGATAACCATTTCGAGGCATAATATTTTTCCCTTTAAGAACATGTTGGCAGCATTGGTAATCATTTTCGGCAATTTTGCCGAGCACGGTGCTTTCGGAGCCCAAAGTCGTAGGATACCCTTTGGTCTTAGGACCCCTGTGTGAAGCCCTGTTCCGGAGCTGATATCTTCTGTATGCCTGAATGGGAGCTCCCTATAGGCTCATCTGGGGGATAACTTTAAGGGTCTTATGTCAAATCGGTATGCCTATCTCGGCTTGTTAGATGCCCTTTCATTAAAGGATTGCAACTCAATATAAATTATGTGCAAAATCGGTGCCACTCCGGAGAGCAATTTGGCAGTTTTCAGCCCAATAATCTTCCTTCTATCTGTTCCGCTTATCACAGCCCATTTTTAAGGCCATAATATGTTCCTAAGGAATGTTTGAGCATGTAATCAATTTCGGGCAAAATTTCGAAGCCGGTGCTTTCGGGCCCCAACAATCGTAAGGTCTTAGGAGCCCTGTGTGAATTCCCTGTTCCGGAGCCGATATCTTCTGTGTTACCCTGAGGGGGATTCTCTTGTTAGGCTCATCATAAGGGCGATTAGTTTAGGGGTACTTCTGGCCCAATTGTATGCCTAATCGCGACTGCTCATTGGCTATCAATTAAAGGATTGTCAAACATCAATATAAAATTAAATGCGCAAAATCGGTCCACTGTGCGTACCGAAAGTAATTTGGCAGTTTTAGCACCATATCTCTCTTGTCTGTCACTTTATCACGCCATTTTCGAGGCATAATATTTCCTCTAAGACATGTAAGGACCGCATTTCAATCATTTTTGGGCCAATTCGAAGCCGGTGCTTCCCCGGGCCCCGGTCAAAATCGTAGGTATACCCCTTTGGTCTTAAGTAGCCCTAATGAAGTCCTGGTTACCGGAGCCGATATCTTCTGTGTCCCATGAGGGGATCTCTCTTGTTAGGCTCATCTAGCGATAGTTTAGGGTCTTCTGCCGCAATTGGGTATGCCTATGCGCGACTGCTGCATTGCTTCATTAAGGATTGCAAACTCAATATAAATTAATGGCAAATCGGTGCCACTCCGAAAGCATTTGGCAGTTTTTAAGCCCAGATCTCTCTGTCTGTTCACTTATCAACCTATTTCGAGGCCATAATATTTTCCTCTAAGACATGTAGGAAACGCATTTTAATCATTATTTGGGCCATTCCGAGCCGGTCTTCCTGGACCGCCAAAATCGTAAGGTATACCCTTTGGTCTTAGAAGCCCTAAGCGCAGCCCTGTTCCGGAGCTGATTATCTTTCTCTAGGCCCTGATTGGGGAGACTCCTGTAGGCTCAATCTAAGCGAGTAGTATAGGGTCTTATGGTCCAATCGGTTTGGCCTATCTCGGCTGCTCATTGCGTCATTAAAGGATCCGCAAATCAATATAATTTAATTTAAATGCGCAAAATTCGGTGCACTTCCGGAAGCATTTGGCAGTTTTTAAGCCTAATATCATCTCTGTCTGTCACTTATCAAAGCGAACATGTCGAGGCCATAATATTTCCACCTAAACTAAGACATGTAGGACGCATTGTAATCAATTTCGGGCCATTCCGAGCCGATGCTTCTGAGCCTCAAAATCGTAGGTATACCCCTTTGGTCCTAGGAGCCCTATGTGAAGCCCTGTTCTAGATCCGATATCTTCTGTACGCCTGACGGGAAGCTCCTATAGGCTCATCTAGGCGATAGTCTAGGGTCTTCTGGCCCAATTGGTATGCCTTTCTCGATTGCATATTGCTTCATTAAGGATTGCAAACTCAATATAAATTAATGCGCAAAATCGGTGCCACTTCGGAAGCATTTGGCAGTTTTAGCCCAATATCTCTCTACGCCCAATATCTCTCTGTATGTCACTATATCCATGCCATTTAATATGAGGCCAATAATATTTTCCATCATAAGACATGTAGGAAGCAATGTAATTAATTTTTCGGCAATTCCCGAGCCGGTACTTTTTGGGCCCAAAATCGTAGGTTATACCCCATTTGGATCTTAAAGGAAGCACCCAGGTGAAAGCCCCTGGTACCGGAGCGATATCTTTTGTAACGCCTGACGGGAGCTCCTATAAATGCTTAATGAGGTAATATTTTTTAGGGTCTTTAATGGTCCAATCAGTATGCCTATCTCGCTGTTAGGATGCCTTCATTAAGGATTGCAAACTCAATATAAATTAAATGCGCAAAATCGTTGCAACTACCGGAAGCATTGGCAGTTTTAGGCCGCAATATCTCTCTGTCTGTCCCGCTTATCACGGCCATTTGGAGACCATAATATTTTCCTCTAAGACAAAAATGTTAGGAAGCATTGTAATCATTTTCGGCCATTTCGAGCCAGTGCTTTCGGGCCCCAAAATCATAGGTATAACCCCGCTTGGTCTTAGGAGCCCTATGTGCAAGCCTGTTTCCGGAGCTGATAATCTTCTATACGCCTGACCAGGCAGCTCCTATAGGCCTCAACGAGGCAAATATTTTTGGGTCTTTAATAGTCGCAATCGGTAAATGCCTAATACTCAGCTGTAGATGCTTCATTAAAAAGGATTGCAAACTCAATATAAATTAATGTGCAAAATCGGTGCCACTCCGAAAGCATTTGGTAGTTTTTAGGCCCAATAATTCACTGCTCTGTCTGTCCTTATCACGCATTATCGAGGCATAATATTTCGCCTCTAAGACATGTAAAGGATGCATTGTAATCTTTTTTTCGGGCCCATTCAGAGCCGGTGCTTCCAGGGCCCCAAAATCGTTGGTATACCCTTTTGGTCTTAGGGCCCTATGTTGGAAGCCCTGTTCCGGAGCCGATATCATGATGTACGCCTTTGACGGGAAGCTCCTAATAGGCTCATCTAGGCAATCTATAGGCTCATCTAGGCAATAGTTTAGGGTCTTCTGGCCCAATTGGTATCCCTATCTAGACTGCTCATTGCTTCATTAAGGATTGCAAACTCAATATAATTTAATGCGCAAAATCGGTGCCACTCCAAAAGGATTTGGCAGTTTTAGCCCAAGATCTCTCTGTCTGTCCCTTATCA